ACTTTTTTAAAAAAAAAACCCCAAAAAACCTATTAACCATAGTTTAGATGTGTTGCAAATACTTTTCTATTCTATTCCTTGTCCTTTAACTTTTTTTATATGTATATTACTATATAGGTAAATGTTTAATATAGTCATATTGTTAATATTTACTTTATAGCTTCTGGGTTTGAATATTTTACTTCAGGTCATGAAAAATATTAGTTCTATTTTCTCCTAAAACTCCTTAGATTCTACAAACTGACTTTTAACTCACCTGAAAAGTTCTTGTATAATGTGTGAAACAGGGCTCTATATTTGTTTTATTTCAAGTAATAGTGGTCCATGCACTTTCTTTGTTGAATAAGCCTTATTTTACCCACTGATTTGAAATACCAACTTAATCATATATTGTTAGATAGATACATTTGTAATTTGTCTCTAGAATGCTCATTATATTTCATTGATCTACTTGATTATTTCTGTGCTGGTGTCATGTTGGTTTAATGGCTAAGACTTTATAATGGTTTTAAAATTTTTAAATATTTTATAAGTAACTCTGACATTTAAAAAAATAAATAAAATCAATCTTCATTTAAAAAAGAAAAAAGAGAGAGAGATGGAACTCCTACTTTTTGTGACAACATGGATGGAACTGGAGAACATTAAGCTAAGTGAAATAAGCCAATTAATGAAAGACAACCACATGATCTCATAAGTGGATCCTATTCAACAAAATAAACTAACGAACAAAATAAACCACAGGCACGGAAACATGGAGCAGAGAGAAAGTGACCAGAGGGGATGGGGAAAAAGGACAATGGTGGAAAGAAGGGGAAGGGACTAGATAAGAACATGTATGAATGACCCATGGACATGGATAAGAAAGTGGGAATTGACTATGAGGGTAGGGGGTGGGGGTGGGGTGGGTGGAGGGGGTAAAGGGGTAAAAATTGAGACAACTGTAATAGAATAAACATGATTTATAAATTTAAAAAAGATATCTATTAGATGCAGAGATCAAAACACTGGTTTTAAAGATACTTAATAAACTTAGTGAGAACTTCACTGGCATAAAAAAGGACAAGAAAACCATTAAAAAGAACCAGTCAGAAATGAAGGATACAATAACTGAAATGAAAAATAATTTATGGGAAATCAACAGTAGAATAGATGAAGCAAGTCAGTGATTTGGAATATAAGGAAGCAAAAAACATCCAATCAAAACAGCAAAAAGAAAAAAGAATGAGGATAGTGTAAGAAGCCTCTGAGACAACTTCATTTGTACCAACATTTGCATCATGGGGATGCCAGGAGGAGAGAGCAAGAAATTGAAAACCTATTTGAAAAAAATTACAAAACTTCCCTAACCTTGTGAAGGAAATAGACATACAAGTCCAGGAAGTGGAGAGTTTCAAAGAAAATGAACCCAAAAAGGCCCACACCAACACACACCATAATTAAAATGCAAAAGATTAAAGACAAAGAGAGAGTCTTAGAAGCAGCAAGTTACCTATAACGGAGCACCAACATGACTAAAACCTGATTTCTCAACAAAGTCTTTGCAGGCCAGAAGGGACTGGCAAGAAGTTTTCAAAGTGATGTAAAGGAAGGACCTGCAACCAGGATTACTTTACCCAGCAAAGCTATCATTTAGAATCACAGGACTGATAAAGAGCTTCCCAGGCAAGAAAAAGTTAAAAGAATTCTTCACCACCAAACCAGTATTACATGAAATGTTAAAGGTCTCCTTTAAGAATGAGATAAAAAATATGAACATTAAAATGGCAATAAATACATATCTATGAACAACTGAATCTAAAAAACAAACAAGCAGAACAAAAACAATCCCAGATACAGAGAACATTTTGATGGTTTCCAAATGGTAGGGGGTTAGGATAGGTGAAAAAGTTGAAGGGATTAAGAAGTACGAATTGGTTGTTACAGGATAGTCTTGGGGATGTAAAGTACAGTATAGTGAACATAAAGTGAATACGGTAAATAACATATAGTCAGTAATATTCTGATAACTATGTGTGGTCAGATGGGTGTGATAAAGCTTTAAAAATGTAAAATCATTAGCTCAGATGCACACAAAAACAGCTACGTGTTGATATAAAGTCTTGGAAATCTTGCTGAGACTGGATCTGTATAGTAGAGATGGTAATAGCAAATACCGCATAAGGTTGTTGTAAGGATTAAATAAATACATACATACATACCTTGGAGACATTGCAGATTCAAATGCAGACCACTGCAAGAAAGTCAATCATAATCCTTTGGTGGAGGGTCTTGCTTGCAATTTGTAAAACATGCAACAGCTATGAAGGACAATAAAGCAAAGTACAATAAAATGAGGTGTGACTGTATACAGGGAGGGGGATAGTAGGTTTATAGCTGTTCATATGGGAAATAATGCAATAATTAATAAATAATACAAGAATAAACTATGCTTTGCAAACTCACAACTGTAGACCTACTTTTGTCCCACCCTAAAGTGCTTAGAAAATGCATGACACATAGTAAAAGCTATACAAATGTTTACTATTATGTTCCCAACCAAATTATATTTTCAAAATACCTACCATTCCTGTATGACTTCTAGCATTACTCAGTGATTTAAAATATGGAGAAAGATTTAATTTGTACTTCTTGGTTTATTCTAAATCACCAGAAAACAGTTTAACATTATATGTTGATAAATCCTTCAAGTGTGGCATGGAAATCAAGTGATCAGAAGGAAGAGTAACAGTCCTTAGGAAGTCCCTCACAAACCCCAGCAGAAGCATCCTTAAGGAGGAAGATTCAGTATGAACATGGAATAAGTTGCCTGAAACAGTCAATTAAAAACAACCATTTCTCATTCATTATAGTAAATCTCTCCAGGCACAGAAATAAATAACCTATTTTAACATCCATTAAGTGAAATTTTAACATCGGTTTTATTTTTAAACTAAGAAGAGGGAATAATTAGAAAGCAGAAATATGCACAAAGTCAGTTAAAATGCTACATGTTCTAAATGTACCAGAGTTACATGCAGGATATATCTGTCTTAGGTATTTGCAAGAGTAAATAACAATGTGGTATGCCAAAAATTCCAAAGGAAAATAATAACTTGAGCAGTCAGGAGCCAAGTCATAATTTTTAGCAGACAACCTATAAATGACAAAGAAATATATAAAACGCAGCCCTTTTGTGATTTACAAAGCACAAGCTGAACAGGGCCATATATAAACATTTAAATGCAAAACATACAATAGGATAAATACGGAACACTTTATGAGCTGTTATGTTGAAATGCAGAGCTTGTAAATTAAGCTTGGTCACACAGCGATGTCTAAACATGAAAAAACATCTGCTTGAGCTTTATAATGCAGTAAATTTTAATTGCATGATGTTAAATACAAACACAATAACCTCAGCTTATACACACTTATATGGCATCCTGTGGCTATTGTTGCCCAACTTGCTTCTACATAATCTTGACATGAAAGTGTAGAGTAAGAATGGATGCTTACATAATATAAATCAGATTTGAAGATCAGGAAAAAGTACTTCTCTTTTGCCTAAATACTTGCATAGGTATGAGTTCCTGTAGTTTGTAGAATACTAATTAACTGAGTACCAACATAAGAATTGTTTTTATCAGTCATTTATGCCCAGAATTTAAAATTTGAAGTGATATTAGACTTAAAACAAACAAGAAAAAACAGTAAACCTTTATCTCTGATGGCCTCCCATTCCAATCCTGGTCTCCCTCCACAGTGACCACCTTTCCAATCCTTTATTTTTAAGGCAGATACCTCTACATTTCTAGGATCTGTAATACCCTTGTCCCTTGAATCAACCATTTTAAACAGATTGTTTGGTCCTGAATCTCAGCACCACCATTCACTAGCTCTGTGACCTTCAGCAAATTACTTTTTTAGGGCTTAATTTTCTTGCCTATAAACCAAATAATAGAACATGCTACCTAAAGCTACTGAGGATTCCATGATAAAAGAATCATGTGTGACAGATCTTGCTCAAAATATAGTGATCAGAGTGATAACTATTATTGTTATTGTTACCATATGATAGATGAGGACTTGAATTCTCTTAAATACCCCTTTCTGCATCTCCGTAAAAGTTACAGAATACCAGCTTTTTTTGTTGTTGTTAAATCACACTCAGTGTTTTCATCATCATGTCCTTTTATATTTGAGTCAATTCAATTAGTGAGTCTCATTTTTTATCTTCATCAAAACAATTTATGAAAGGCTGGTAAGCTAGCTTAAAATGCTGGGCCACTGGAATACCCTGGATAACTTTCAATTTGCCAAATTCCAAATCAACGGAATTTCAGGACTATGAGAAATTAAATTACAGAACTTTTACTGTAGTTTTAAAATTATTTTTTCACATCTCTGAAACATACCACAACCACAGTTACTATAACACATTTTTATTACTCATCTTCTGCTTCTGATTTTTTAAAAAATAATTTTCACAGCTAAGGATGTCTGAGATATTACATACTGAATATTTCACTTTTTCTTTATATGCAATATTTTTCAGAATTGACACCACTGCTTTGTATAGTTTCCCAGTGTTTGATTTAAAATCAAAGTTTCTGTTTAGAGTTCATAATTCTAAGTGGTCTCTAATAAAGTTGTGAGAATAACACATTTTCCTAGTGTAGGTACCTGAGATATGTCTAAAATTCTAAAGAATTTATGTAGCAGTTTATGCTCAGAGAAAAAAAGTTTAGTCAGTCACAATCTATTTTAACAGAGCACTATAGTAAACTGGGGGAATTTTAAAGAAATAAGCAGTCAGTTATAATTATTAAAGAACCACACGTTAATTCATTTTTATAACTCTTAATCTTAAGATAAAATATTTTCATTAGCCAATGAAATAAAATTAAATGTAATAAAAGATTCTCAAATTTTCCCTCATTAAATTCTAAGTTCTCTGAGGATAAGCAATATGTCTAATTTACCTTTTATCACCATTGCATAGGATAATGCCAGACTAGTACAGGTATAGAGAGGTTTAATACATATTCATTGGCTAAATAACTTCAGTGTAAGTTGGACTCAGATTTACAAATGTTTGACAGTAAAACACCAAATACCATATTAACACAGCATTATTCTTTCATTATAAAGCACATTAGTTGGTATGTTACATTTTATGTTTTATTGATGATGATGTAAGTAAAAATCTAGATACACATTAATTACTTATGGTCCCTTATAAACATTTAAAGTTATTTTTCACTAGCACAATCACACTGCAGTCATACTACAAAACTAATTTTTAGAGGATAATTTAAAAATAAAATACATTAAAGATATCATAATTCATGAAGAGATAGTGAGATGGATTTTAACTCTGACTTTAAACATTCTCACTGCAATCAAGTTAGACATTTACCAAGAAGTTGATAAGCCTGGGGAGCCCTTCTGAGGATTTGTTTTTATATAACTAATGGCCAGATTAGCATATCTGAGGTCCTATATTCTTATAAAGTTTACTCACAGTCCATAAATGCAAGCAAATTATAAAGTGTTCTTAGATGCACCAGCATCTTTAAAAAAAATTTAATATATTCAGTTTGTCTTAAGATATGTTCCTTGAAATGACAATTTTTGAGGTTTCCAAATACTATCTTTTCATGTCTTTGCAGCCTGGATCTGATCTGAAAACAAAAACAGACAAGAAGTTATTGGTCTCTAGAGGAAAAAAATCAATTTTTTAATGTAATCTGATGCAAATCCAGAACACAGTACAAACCTATGGACATTTTTTAAAAAAGTGCAATTCATACTATAGTTTTTATTGTCTAAGATGTATATGCAGAGTTGGTCATCTGGCTCTAAAAATTAGTGGTCCCTTGCCTCATCAGCTCCTTCCTCCTCTCATAGGCAACTACTTCCAACTCCCTTTTTAGTTATTACCTCTTTATGTCTAAATAATATACTTTTATTATTACCTGTTGAAGTATCAGTTCCTTCCATTTAATATGAAGCTTCAGCTCTTATATTACCCTTTGCTGGTCTCTTCAACCCTCCTCATGTTTTCTTTTCTTTTTTTTCTTTTCAAGCATTTATTTATTTATTTATTTATTTTTAAAATACATTTGTCTCCTCATGTTTTCAATACTCCATTTTCCTAACATAGTAATGTGGCCATGATTATCAATGCAATGACTCTGTAAGTGCTATTCACAGTTAAGACACATGGTATAACCCGTTTACTTTTCTGGTCTTCAACTGTATTTTGTTTACCATGGTGTTAATTGTTCCTTTTCTCTATCCCTGCCTTTCTGCCTTTTTATGTACTCAATACTACTTCAGTCCCACTACTCTACACTGTGTAAACCCTTATTTTTATGAAGCACATTATATAGTCTATCAATTTCTCTAGAATGTTCTGAAACTAATCTGGACCAGTTGTTTCCTATGCTTACCCAGTTATTTTCATATGAGATCTTTCACTGCCATTCTAGGATCTCCACTATCACTCTCTTGTGCTAGTTTACCTGTTTCATGACCCCTTACTTTTTTCTTCTTGGTTTATTCCCTTGTGTCTGAAGAGTACACTTCTCAGTGTTTACTTTAGTACAGAAAGTACAGAAAGTAAAACGATTCTCGAGACTTCACATGGAAGAAGATGTCTTCATTCTACAGTCACAATACATTGACACTGCCTGAGAACATAATTCTACTCTGTTATCCTTGACTGTTCCAGGCACTGCCCAATTATGTTACAGCTTCCAAGTGTAGCTGTTGAAAAATTTGATGCCATTCTGTATCCTTATCCTTTACATGAAAACTCTTATTTTCTTCTCATTGTTTGTAGACTCTTCCATGGTCTTCAGCGTTGATTTTAATAATGATGTACCTTGGTATGAGAATATTTTCATCCAGAGGATTGACCTCTCAAGAGGTCTTTCAATTAAAAAGTCATCATTCAGTTCTTGAAAATGCTGTTTGATAATTTATTTGATGATTTTTCTACCCTCTATTTTCTCTGTTCTCTTTCGGAAATTCCTACTATTTGGATATTGGGCTTACTAAACTCAACCCCTTACTTTCTTATCTTTTCTTTTCAATTTTCTATTCTTTGTCTTTTTGCTCTACTTTCTGAGATTGCCTCTATTCTTTTTTTTTAATCCTCATCCAAGGATATGTTTATTGATTTGAGAGAGAGAGAGAGAGAGAGAGAGAGAGAGAGAGAGAGAGAGAGAGAGAGAGAGAGAGAGATCTCAGTTGGTTGCCTCCTGTACATGACCTGACTGGGGATCAAACCTGAAACCTAAGTACTGGGTTGGCCAAAATGTTCATTCGGTTTTAAAGTAAACCATAAAAGACACATTTTTCATTTTGACTAATAACTTCACTGAACAGTGTATTCACTATTTTGTTTCACTACCTTCTGCCATCTCTCAAGAAACTTCATAATTTCATCTTCCCAAAACTTTTTATCTTTTTGAGTAAAGAACTGTTCCAGGTGCCTTCTGCAGTCTTCCAGGGAACTGAAATTTTTTCCATTAAGAGAATTTTGTGAAGACTGAAATATGTGGTAATCTGAAGATGCAATGCCTGGTGAATACAGCAGATGAATCACAAATTCCCATCCAAGCCTTAACAGTTTTTGCATAGTTCTCAAAGAAACATGTGGTCTTGTGTTATCCTGATGGAAGATTATGCATTTTCTGCTGACTAATTCTGGATGCTTCTCACTGAGTGCTGCTTTCATCTGGTCTAACTGGGAGTAGTACTTGTTGGAATTAATCATTTAGTTTTCCAGAAGGAGCTCATAATAGAAGACTCCCTTCCAATCCTATCATATACACAACATCACCTTTGGATGAAGACAAGACTTTAGTGTGGTTAGTGGTGGTTCATTTCGCTTGCCCAATGATATCTTCCATTCTACATTATTGTAAAGTATGCACTTTTCATCACCTGTCACAATTTGTTTTAAAAACAGAACACATTCCTTATGTTTAAGTAGAGAATCACATGAGGATATACAGTCAAGAAGGTTGTTTCAGCTTCATTTATGTGGAACCCAAACATCAAAGCCATTAACATAACCAAGCAAGTGAAAATGATTTTCAACACTTGATTTGGATATTTTGAGTATGTTGGTTTTCTCCTGCATGGTATAACATTGATTGTTCTCAATTAATGTCTCAATTTAATTGCTATCAACTTCAACTGATCTACCTGACTGTGGAGCATCATCCAGTGAGAAATCTCCAGCATGAAACTTCACAAACCACTTTAGGCATATTCAATCATTACCTTCTCCATACACTGCATAATCTCTGTATCTCAGTTGCATTTTTACCTTACTTGAAATAATAAAGCATAATATGCTGAAAATGTTGCTTGTTTTCTTCTATCTTCAATATTAAAGTGGCTACACAAAAATTCACCAATTTTGATGTTTTTTAAATTCATGCTGATATGATAGCTGTTACAATAGAATCTAATAAAATGGTTTCAAATGAAGTTAAAGACAACTAAGCACTATTAGAGCCATCTTATGGAAAAAACTCAATGAATCTTTAGGCCAACCCAGTATGTGCTATGACTGGGGATTGAACCCACAACCTTTTGGTGTACAGGATGATGCTTGAACCAACCAAGCCACCTGGCCAGGGCTATTTATCTTCTTTTAATTGAGTTTTCCATTTCTACTATTCTATTATTATTTTCCAAGAACTCAATTTTTGATTCTTTTTGATACTTGTGTTTTGAAATGTTCTCCCTAAATAAATTCTATTTCCTCTAACCTACTTTTCCTGTTTGTTCATGGTCCATAATTCATGCTTTTGTCTCCAAATGCCTGATGACCCTTTGCCACCTTCCCATATGTATGAGTAAACACTGTATAGCTGATTGGAATTTTGATATGCATGTTAGGTTTGTCAAATGTGATCATTCTAGTGCATCTAGCTGAGCCATCTCATTGGGAATTTCTGATGTTAATGTCACTAGGTCCTCTCTCTTAGGCTAGTCTGATTCCTCAAAAATGACTTTCTATCTCCTGCCTACTGCCAGTGTCTTCTGGAAGAAGTAGAAGGCAGAAAAAGATTATAGTATTTGGTATGAAAACTTCAGCTACTCATCATTTTCAGTTTAGCACTACCACATACACAGTTTTGCTAATCCAGAGATACTCCTATTGACTATTTGCAGAAAATAACCTTTAATCTTCTTTTGGAATAAAGATTTATGACTGTGTCTTCTCCTTTTAGCTCCAGCTCATCTGATTTCCAATTTTCACCAACATGAAGACTTTGAGAGGATCTGTAATATCAATTAGGATGCTTTCCAGCTTTCTCCAGTGCTTGCTTAGAATTCAGCTTTCTCTGTTAAGAGAAAAGGTCTTTAAGCCTGGTGTGCCATTCAGCACTGATCTGATTGGTTAAGTCATTTAACATTCATCAGATACTCAGCTTCCAAAATTTGGTTGCCATTTTTGTCATTCTTATTCTTTTTGCCCTTGAGGGTTAATGTCTTTAAACAAAAGTCCCTTTATTCTTAGTGAGATTTGTGGAAGGGATGAAACTAAGTATGTGTTCAATCCTTTGTCTTGGGAACAACCATTTGAATAGTTTATAAGTCTTATATTAAAACCTGAAAGCATTAACCTTTCCCATACAGATAATGTGATAAAATGAGTAAGTTTCCTTAGTCATGTGGGAGGATTTCTTTTTATAAATATCTCACTTCAAAGTTTCAGAGCTAGAAAACAATTCATACCTCTGTGATGGTTTCCTTATATTCTTTGTTGGTTTTAAAAAATATTTCATAATCTACTCAGGGATTCTTGTCTTTGGGCTGCAATACATAGGTAATCATTGGGAATCCTTTCAAAAAAAAAAAAAAAGGAATCCTGGCACAAAATGTGTAATTTAATATTTTACCCCTGTAATTTCAACCTTAAACTCTAAATAATAAGATTAAATTGGTCGAAGGGCTTACTTGTTTATCATGCTAGGAAATTTCAGAATTTTGGAAACAAAATGAAGAGATAAATTCAGAATATCTTTCAGAGTTAGATTTACATAAAAACTTCTGGTTAATAAGTTAGTTACAGGCAAATCTATATACTGTTACCTATTTTGTAAAATAGGTTTTTACCTCTTAAAATCCAGAGACAGGAGCATCAAATTACAAATTACTATTACATAAGAAATATGAACAAAGGATCTCCTATTCAAAACCAAACTGATATACTTTTTAATCTATGTAAAAAATTTCTTTATTAAATATAGCAGTTGGTAAAAGGGTATATTTAACATTTATTGAGTGTTTTCTTATGCTAGGGATTTTAAGACATACAATGTTTCATTTTTTTCTGTATAACAATTTGGACATTTTACTTTTTTAAATTTTACCGATGAAGAAAATAATCTTCATAAAATAAAATATGTTAATTAATAGTAAGTAGTGGAATCAATCTTCTAGACTCAAGAGCCCAAGTGCTTTTTAAATATTATTCTATGATACCTACATAAAAAAGGATACAACTAATTTATCATGCAGAGGACTATTGTTAATAGTTACATAAAAAAATATGGCAACACAAGGACACAAAAATATTTCCAACAATGTGTCCTCCTTAGAAAGACTTGGGAGATAAGATGCAAAGATAATGAATCAGAAAACTCTGCGACACAAAAATTAGGTGACAGACCAGACATAGCAAGTGGCACAGTGATGTTGGATTGTTACTAACACCTAGTGGCCTTACTGTTACAAAGTATGTACTCTCTCCCTGCCTCAGAAAAAAGGGAACAGAGAGCTATGATGTACAATTCAGACGACTATGTCAACCTATTTTTTAGTGATTACTGTGCTTTGAATTACTTTGCTATGAACAATTGTAGGGTTTGATCCATACTGTATCTTCACTGTAAGCAATAATAAGCACTTATAAATAAGAATTGAGGCTGAAAAACATGCTTGTCTGTAATGTTCCTCTGCAACCTATGTTTTATGTGGGAATCAGTCCCTTTGACTACTTCTTCACCACAGCCCATCAAACTAAGTTTGTGTGTTCACAGAAAAATTTCAGTAGTTATTCTGAGAACCACTAGAAGTTCTCAATTAAGTTTCACATAATTATAAAATTATGACTACATAATTTTTGACCAGGTGGCTCAGGTGGTTGGAGTGTTGATCTTGTATACTAAAAGGTTTGCAGGTTCGATCCGTGGTCGGGACACACGCCTAGGTTGCGGGTTTGATCCTCAGTCTGGGTGCATACGGGAGGCAACCACTCAATGTTTCTCTCTCTCTCTCTACCCTCTTCCTTAGCTCTAAAATCAATAAAAACTTCCTTGGGTGATTGAAAAAAATTATGACTAGAATGTCTTTTGCAGTTTAATGGTAAATATCATGACTACATAAATACAAAAGAGATCGATAACAGTCTGTGCAATTAAATAAAATACCCTATTTTACTAATAACACATAAAAAACATCAGATATATATTTAGTACTTTGAACCAAAGCAATATTATTTCAATATACAGGTGAACAGACTACTCTTGCCCATACATAAATAATATTTCTTTGGTTCAAAGATCCACCATGACATACAGAGAAGGAAAACCCCACACATAACTCGAATTAAAAAGTTAGTGTAGAAGAAATTAAGTTGCTAGCCACAAGACTAAAACTTTAACTTATAATATCTTGTTATTCAACCCTTGTTCAGAGCCGGCAGATACTTAATAGGTATGATCCTCAGCTGTTCTGCTCACAAATGAAAATTTCTTGGCCTCACCCTCCTGGTCCTGTAACAAGAACCTAAAGAACTCAGTTTCATTCACTTTTGCTCTGTGTGGTTCTTTGTGCTTCAAGCCATTCCTATAACTAGCAGACAATGTAAACTTAGGAAAAATGATATACCTTAATTTATTCCCTGATATAGTAAGCCTGTACCAACCCATGGTAAGTATTTTGATGAATAACAAATAGAACTGAAATATACAAAACGTCAACAGAATACCAGTATTTATGATTCTAAACATGCATGTTAAAGGTTATATAAACGTGTTATGTATAAATGAAGATATAAATGGAGTAAAGCATTCTTAAAACACATGCCATGCAGACTTATTTTAATTATTAAGGTCTAAAATTTGTTCCAAACTTCAAATGTGCTTCTATTACTAGATCTCATAGAAATTTATTGCTATAAATTAAAAATGTTTCTACAGCTGTCACATAATTGACCTTAAAAATGCTAACACTTTATTTCAATAAATGCTTTAGAAAAATGTAATAGAAGTAAATGGAGCAAGGTATTGGATACTTACTGCAGTGTATTTTCTGAAAGCAGGAATAAATGAAAACAAGAGGGGGAAAAGGCAGTGATATAATAAAAATAAAATGTTAAAAAAAGGAAAGACAAATGTGAATGGAAAGGAAATAAAGGCTGAAGATGAACAGTATTTTGTGATGTACCTTGAAGCCAGTCTACACCTTCTTGTAATCCTTCTCCTTTTATGGCATCAGTAGCACTGAAATAAAATCGGTAAGAAACATATCCATTTAATTACATCACAGAACTATAAGAATAAATAATTGCAATTTTTTCCATATGGCCAATTAATATATCTAGTAACATATCTGAAAAGAACTAGTTAAGCAATGAAACTGAATGTACATAAAAAAATAAAAGTCTGAATGTTCTGGAGGAAGACATGAGAAAATTATTCATAATTTGTACTGACAAACGTAGTATGACATTTTAAAAAGTGTACAATAAAAAGTTATTATTTTAGGAATAGTATTCAGACGAACATTAACAAAACATATACTTTGAATTATTTTTCCAGTGGTGGAAAAATTTTTAGAGGCCCCCCTTCCTACTTTGCCCAGTGACTAAACAGAAGTTATTTGTTAGAAATGCTTGACTTAGGATGCAATTTAGCCATAGGATTCAGTGACTTTATTTAAATGGAATTTGATATCTATAGGGTATAAACCTGTAATTATAACTTTGGTAAACTGGTAAAACGAAAAATCCCAGGAGATTTCTATAATAGTTTTATACTTATTGACTTCAGTTTTAGCATCTGTAACACAGGGGAATATTATCATTGACCTCATATGGCCATAATGAGATTTAAATATTTGAGAGAGAGATACATAAATAAATAAAAAAAGGGTCTTTTCATGATCTTTCCATTCAGAGAGTAAACTTAAATCCTTACAGTGATTATTTTACAAATAATTATAATTAAGTTACATAAACTAAAACAAAATGCAAGGGATTTTTTGAGTATCAATCCTTCTCAAGACATAGTCTGATAGTGTCTCATAACATTTTACTGATCGATTAGTCATTTCTTTCAAAATATAATCATAAAATAGCAGTTAGAAGACATAATTAGATTTTCTGAATTAGGGTTCCTTATAGTGTGTTGAAGCATGATTTTAAAATGTACTAAAAAATATGTACTAAGTTACCTAAAAGACTTAATCTGATTCTAATCAAACCAGAAATTACTTCCAAGGAATTACTTATTAAGAACATGACTTATATTTAAAAAATAAAAAGATAGAAACAAACAGCATGAGATACACAATTATTCAAAACAAACTATGGATTATTTGTATTAATAGCAAAAAATCATTAACAAACATTTATATCAACAAAGATCAATATATTGATTTTATCACACACTCATAGTGCCAAACAAGACTACAACATCAAATAAGTAGTATCATGAGGAAATCCTTCCCCTTTGGTGGAAGAGTCACTACCCTACTAAAAACCTTGTATCTTTTCCTACTTATTCCCAACTGTTTGAATTCTACTATCCTTTCAAATAAATCATAAGACCTGTAACTAAATAAAAGCCAAAGCCTTCACCATGTCCTCCAAAGCCCTGTGTGATATGGCCCCTGGTTGTTTTCCGGTGGTCTCATCTTCTACAAATCCCCTGTAGATGTGTCTGCTCCAGTCAGCTTGGACTTTGTGCTATTCCTGAAACATACCATGTATCATATGTTCTCATCCAAGAGCCTTCTTGCTAGCTGGCCTCTCTCTCTGGAAAGCTATTTTTCCAAACCTTTGAGTGGACTCCTCCTTGACTTCAATTAGATCTCAGAGAGGGAGTATCTCTCATTAGTTTTTAAATCTTATTATCCTACTTTATTTTTATTTGCCTTTCCAGCTGACATTTTATATTTATCTATTTCTTATCTGTCTTCCTTAAAAGATAGTAAACAAGCAAAAAACATACATATTACACCAGGGACTGAGTCAAAGCAGCCAGAGGAAGAACAATACTGCAATCAGATCCTGAAAATGAGAGTTGACTATATGTTTAGAACAACAGTTAAAAAACCCCATAAAACTTTCCTTTAATCTTCTGCACTATACTTCTCTATATCTTTTATTGCCCAGTAAATTTACTTCTATCTATAGCAAGAGAGAAGCAATATTTTATCTCTACATCACTGTACATTACCTTTATCTCTAAAATTAGAAAAAGATAAATCTATTTTCAATTTTATGCATGCACTAAAAATACTGCAATAAATGAATAAAAACAAACTTAACAAATGAAGCAGTAACTGAAACTTAGTGAGCTGTCCAGTGTGAATTAAGAATTCAAAATTATAGACAAACTTAAAGAAATACTTGGCATTCTTCTATAAGTTATACAGAAAACATAGAAACTGGAAATATAGTATTCTACATCTTTATAAAGTCAGGATATTACTTTTTCTCTCATTGAAAAATATTTAGATGTTACAACTTAATACGTTTTTAGAATTTCAAGTGCTAATTATTTTAAGTAGAGATTTTTCCATTTGCAAAATTAAATTCCACTTCAAAATTAAAAATAGGACTGCATCTTTTACCAATCAGGCCCATGTTTTTTAATGTTGTACTTTCTACCAAAGCACTAACAATACTTAATGCAATCGAAAAATTAGAATTATTATACTTTAGACATTATCAACTTAGATATGCTTTACCTGAATGATATAGAGAAATGCAAATGTTCCATCCTAAGATATTTCTCTATCCAAAATCCCTCCACTGTTTACCAAAAAATATCACAGAACCTCAAATTCTGACGCAAAACTTTTCTTCTGATTCCAAGGTAGGGAAGGTTTTACCTGAGACAGACAGTGTGTTTCACTCCTGGGCTGAGGAGCTGAGGCCTTGAGTACTGAGGAGTTTCAAGGGCTTTCTCAGCCCTCCTCTAGCTCTTACTCTTTCAGCACCAAGGTTAGTTCTTCAAGTTCTCTGAGCTCTACTAACTCCTTGCTTTGTACTGTTTTCTCTTCTAGAGGCCCTGAATTTCTCTTCCTCTGTGTTCAGCCTTTCTTCATACATACCATCTCATAAAAGGAGAAATCTTCAAGTGACGGATATCTTGCAATGTTGGGGAGGTAGGTGGGTGGATAGAAGAGCTTAATGACAGGTAGTAGCAGGTACTAAATACTATCTAGTAATGTAAAATAATTTCAGACACCGTTTGAGTTCAAACTTATTAGTATGTCCAAGTAAGATTATTATTTCCATTTATATGTATTCATATAAACAAGTATTTATTGTGAACCTATTATGTACTGTGTACTACAATTCCAGGGCTTAGAGTGCAGAAAGCCCATAAACCCCAATTCTCATGGTGCTAATGAGCTAGTGTAAAAAGACAAACTATAAAACAACAACAACAAAAAGAGTGTATGTCACATTGCAACAGAAATAGCAAGTAAGGAAAAAAATGTGGCAGGGTAAGGTACAGTGATATTTTAGAGAATTATCAGGAGAGGTTCCTAAAGGAAGTGCAGTAGCAAGTTAGGAAAATTATTTTGGAGAATGATATAGACGAAGGGAGTAACAAGTGGAAACGCCATCAGATGGGATTGTGGTTAGCTTATTCAACGTGTAGAAGGAAATCAGCATGGTCAAGTTGGGTGAGTAAGCAGGCTGTTTAATTTATTCTTTTAAAGAGTTGTTTTCATTTTTTATCCCCCAAAAGATTTGAAAGGTTTTAATAGTAATATATTCATGAACACCTGCGATGCCACATTCTATAAAACAAAATCCTTAGCTGACATCCTACCAAGTTAGGTCACTTATAAAATGAGCTTAGAAAAGAAACACTGAAGTTTGGGGATTTTTCCAAAATGATAAAATGAAAAATAAATCTAAAACTTTACCAAATATGCCATGGCTTATCTTTGATGTTCTCTAAACATAGCAACTGAGACACTTTCACAGATGTCACTGCGTCTCTAAGGTCCATTTTGTTTGCAAAGAACAGGATTGGTATTCGGCGGTGCTTAATATCTGAAATAGAAAATAAGACTATCATCATACTTCCAGCCTCTTGGTCATTGATCCCCAAATCCTTAAAATCTAAATTCACTACAATTGTTTACCAATCACTTCCTTCTATATCATTCATACATAAACTTTTAAAGACATAGACAGCCAGGCATATGTTTGAGTGATACGAGGGTTTCAACAATATTTCTTCCAAGACTATCTGCTTTCTGGTTGGAGCTTTAAAATAAAGACAAGTGTATGTGGGGTGGCTCATTAAGTGGTTACTGAGCAGCACCTACAAAAGGTCAAATATTTTGTTTCATTTTTCCGTCAACACAAAGGAGGCAAAATTCAAAGAAGACAACAAACTGGATCCTGATTTTAGATTTGTTACAGTATTCTAAGTAACAAGCTAGGTATTTTAATAATATATTTTTGCCTTGTTACAACATTGGAAATATTCTTCACTGTTTTGAACAAAGAATTTATTTAAATAGTTCAAAAGTCAGAAGACACAAAATGGTATTCAGTAAAACAATCTCCCTCTCACCTTGGTCCCAGGCCATTCACTTTCTCCTCCCTAGAAGGGGCAACCATGATATGGCATCTCCTTAGACATTTTTTACATGTTTGGAAATAATTATTATATACGATTATTTATACAAATAGTAGTAGAAGACTATTCTCACTTTTTAACCTTTTGCTTTTCACTTAATTTCATATCTTGGAGACCATTCATATAGAGCAGTTTCTTCATTATTTTAACTGTTGTGGAATATTCTGTCTTTAAGTATTGTACTATGTATCATAGTTTATTTAACCAGATGTAGCTGAGATATACTTATGTTGCTGCAAATACTTACAATTATAAACAATGCTGTAATGAATAAACTGTAGAAGATTTTGTAAATGGGCCAGTGTCTCTGCTGGATAGATTTGAGAAGTGGAATTGCTGGGTCAAAGGATTTGTAACTGAACTGCCTTCCCTTAAACAACTTTGTATTGAATGTTTCCAGTGATAGGTAAGAAGTACTATCAGAATGTGTTTACTTACATTGTTTTGAGAAAAGTCAGGAATATTTCTATATTTTCAAAAGATGTTTATAATTCCTTATTTTTAACTACCTTGGCATGAACTATCTTGGCATATCATTTCCCCACTTTTCTATTAATTTTATTTTCTTATTTATTCAGAGAAATACATTAAGTAGTAAGGAAATAAGTCTTACAGCTAAAATATGAAATACAAATAGTTTTCCTTGCGTCTCATGGACAAAACCAAAGGGGAAGGATTGAGGGAGGGAGTGGGGAGGGGGCAGGGGAAGGTGGTGGGGGGAAGGCAGAGACAAATATATTTGAAAAAATAAAGAAAATGAATTAAAAAAAACAGTTTCCTTTGCTTGTCATTTGCCTTTGACTGTGTATGGTCCATTTTGCAAATCAAATCTTTTTATGGTATCCTAGTCATTGATTTTTATTTTTTTTAAGGATTCTGGGTTTTGTATTATAGTTAGAAAGGTCTCCTCTTGCCCCAAAATTATTTTTTTAAATCTCCCATAGTTTCTCTTATTGCTATTAATAGTGTAATTTTTACATTTAAATACTTAGTTCAGCTGGAATTTATCCTGGAGCAGACAATGTTAGAATAGATTAAAAAAGCAAGATATAACTATATGATGTTTACAAGAAACACACTTTGAACACACTAACAAGCTGAAAGTGAAAGGATGGAAAACATGCATACATATAAGTATAATAAAGCTGCCATGGCTACACTACTATCAGACAAAGTAGCTTTAAAAGATGAAGGGTATTATCAAAGAAAAAGGCATTAAATTATAAAAGGGTCAATCAATCAAGAAGACAAAACAATTTTAAGTGTATATGTATCTAATAAACAAGTTCCCAAACATATAAAGCAAAATTTGATAGTATTAAAGAGAAATACAAAGAATTCCACAAGTATAGGTGGATACTTCAATACTCCTCTCTCAGAAATTAACAGAACAAATAAACAAAAAAATCAGTAAGAATGTGGTAGGTGTGAACAACAATATCAACTGTGATTTATAGAATTCTTCACCTAACAGCAGAAAAGTATATATTTTATTTAATTGCAGATGGAACACTCATGAAGTTAGACAATATCTGCTAGGCCATGTATTTTGAAGGATGAAATCATACAGAATATTCTTTGATCAAGTAGAATTAAATTAAAATCAATAACAAAAGATACCTACAAAAATTCCCAAATATTTGGGAAATTAAATAACATACGTAGTACCAAAGATTCCAAGGGTCGCAGAAGAATTCACAAGGTAAGTTAGAAAATACTTTGAACCAGACAATTAGAAAACAAAGCTATCAAAATTTGCGAAATGTTGCTAAATCTTTAGAGAATATGTATTGCTTTGACTGCTTGTATTAGAAAAGGTGTAAAATCAATGATTACAACTTCCGTTTGAAAACAAGACAGTGAAATACAAGGTAAGTACAGAGAGTTCATAATAAATCAAGAGCAGAAAGTAATGACAAAAGAGAACACTTAAAGGGCCAGATGTTCTAAGAAAATTAATAAAATCAATAAACTTTTTAAAAGATTGAGTAAGAAGGGAGGAAACATAAATTACCAAATTAGGAATGAAAGAAGATACATCATACAGATCTTACAGACATTAAAAGGATAATGAGAGGATGTTATAAACAATGTTATGCCAATAAATCTGACAATTTAGGTACATTAATAAATTTGGTCACAAATTACCAAAGTGACCCAGAAACATAACACTTTAATATTCTTATATCATTCAAGGACTGGAATTCATAAATCATGCACCCCCCACTCCCTCAACATACATACCAAATACTGACACAAATGAGTTCATTGGTATATTCTATCTAACAATTAAGGAAGAAATAATACCAATTTACACAAACCCAAAAATAAAAAATAAAGAAAAAAAAAGAATATACTCTCCATCTCATTTTATGAGGCCTCTATAACCCTGATACAAAATCTGATGACAACATTACAAGGAAGACAATAAAAAACCAAAAACGGGTGAAGTCAGCAGCATGTCAGCATGAAAGGATCTCCAGGTCTCTCCTCCAAGAGTTACAAGTGGAACCAGTACAAAAAGTCACCGCGTTTCAAGCCTTGCAGCACAGAACAAAGCATTCTGCAGGCACAGTGATTTGCCCACACTATCTCTGTGGCTCGCCTGATAGCTTAATCCTCAACAAGGTAAATGGAGAAAGGGCTAGAAAAATACTTTCCAGTCTAAGTGCTTTGTATTCATTGCAGCTAAACTCAGAATAAAGAACAGAACCACAGACATGGGAACGGCTTCTTGCCCAACCATTGCTCACTCATTGCCCACCCATTGCAGAATAGCCTGGTAGAGGGCACCTAGGTCAACTCAGAGCAGCCCTGCTAGCAGCTTCTGGCTATAGGAAGGCGGTGCCAGAAATATAAAGGAGACACAAAGACCGCCACTTTTAATACACAGGAATGGCACCCCAAGAATGAGGTGACCAGGTGGAAAGGTGATGCCCACTTCCTTGGGGAACAAGGAACCTTTCTCCAACGCGGAGATGGCACCTTTCTACAGAGATCCCAGAAGTCCCTGTAATATAAGAAAGAAAATAAAAACTTGCTCTTCAGCGCCACCTTCTGGAAAAATAAAAGAAATATCTCTACTTATCAACTTGCTTAACAATGAAGCGCCAACATTTTTTAAAAAGCAATTTTCATTCCCAGAAGTGCCCAGGCAGAGAAATAATCCATCAACATACTGAATAATGAAAATAACAAGGGAATTCAGAAATAAAATGAAAAACCTCCAGAAAACCGGCTTAAAGACATGGAAGAATGTAGCTTAAAGACATGGAAGAATGTAATTTAAATGACAGAGAATTCAAGATTTCAGTTCTGAAAAGTCTCAACAAGACACAAGAAAACTCAGGAAGTCAATTCAATAAACTTGGAAAAAGAAAATCAATGAACAAAAGGAGTACTTTAGCAAAGGGATCAAAACTATAACAAAGAATCAAACACAATTCTGGAGCTGAAGGACTCAATAAATGAAAATGAAGAACGAACTAGTGAGCTTAGGAAATAGAGCGGACCAGATGGAGAAAAGAATTAGTGACACAGGAGATATGAACCTAAAAATGACTTAGGTGGAAGGAGTGAAAAAAAGGAGAAAAAAATAACTCTATGAGAACTATCTGACTCCATTAGAAGGAACAATATCAGAATAACGGGTATACCAGAAGGAAAAGAGCAGGGAAAGGAGACAGAGAGCCTATTCAAACAAATAGTTGACGAGAACTTCCCAAAACCATGGGAAGAACTGGATCCTTGAAACCAATATGCTAATAGAACACCTACATTTTCAATCTAAAAAAGGCCTTCTTCCAGGCCCATTATATTAAAACTGTCAAAAATTAACAACAAAGAAGGAATGCTCAAGGTAGCCAGGGAAGAGAAGATGGTAACCTATAAAGGAAATCCCATAGACAATCATTGGATTTTTCAGCACAAATCCTACCAGCTAAGAAAGAGTTGAATCAAATATTCAATTATTGAAACAACGAAATCACCAGCCAAGAATACGATATCTAGCAAAGTTATCCTTTAGATATGAAGGAGAAATAAAGACTTTTCCCGACATATATAAGCTGGGTGAATTTACCACAAGACCTGCGTTATAGGAAATACTGAAGGGTGTTCTATCTGAAACAAAAAGACAAAAGAATACAAAACTATGAGCAAGATGACTACCAGACAGACAAAAGCAGGAAACTGCAACCCTTATTCCAAATAGATTAATAAACACTTAAATATAATATAAAGTTTAAAGGAGATAAAAAAACATCAAAAACAAAAAAGAGACAACAGTTACTGGAATTTGGAAATAAACTCATAGCATAAAAAGAGATAATTTGTGACAACAGAAACAGTAAAGGAATGAACTTATAGGTGAATGGAAATAAAATGCAACCTGAAAAAAAAGGACTACTATATATATGAAACTTTCTTTTGCATATGCTAATGGTAACCACACACATAGAAAAGTCTAAAACAGATACACAGCATCAAAAAAGAGGAAACGGAGGAAAAGTCATAGGATACCACCAAACTAAAATTATACACAAAAAACACAGGGGAAAGGAAACAATGGAGACACAGAGCTACCAGAAAACAAAAGCTAAAATGGATATAAGAAATCATCATGCATTAATGATCATCCTAAATGTAAATTGACTGAACTCACCATAAAAAGGCACAGAGTAGCTGTTCGGATCAAAGAGCAAAACCCAACTGTATGCTGCCTTCCAGAGACATGTGTCAGCTGCAAGGATGTGGAATCAAAGTGAAGGGGTCAGAAATGATACTCCAAGCAAATAGCATCCAGAGGAAAATGGGTGTAGCCATTCTTATATCTGACAAAATACATTTCAAGATAAAAAAAGTAACAAGAGGTAAAGATGGACATTTTATAATGATAAAGGGGATGATATATCAGGAGGACATATCATTTATTAATATATATGCACTCAACTTGGGAGCACTAAAATATATATGAAACAACAGATCAAAACTCCTGAAAAAGAACTAAGCATTGAGGGGATAGACAACCTACCAGATGCAGAGTTCAAAACACTGGTAATCAGGATGCTCACAAAATGGTTGAGTATGGTCCCAAAATAAAGGAAAAAGTGAAGCCCATGCAAAGTGAAATAAAGAAAAATATATGGGGGACCAAGAGTGAAGAGAAGGAAACCTGGACTCAAATCAACGATTCGGAGCAGAAGGAAAAGATAAACATTCAACCAGAGCCGAATGAAGGAATAAGAATTCAAAAAAATGAGGAGAGGTTTAGGAACCGCTGGGACTTTACACGTTCCAACAGCTGAATCATAGAGGTGCCAGAGGGAGAAGAGAAAGAGCAAGATACTGAAAACTTATCTGAACAAATAATGAAGGAGAATGTCCCCAATCTGGCAAAGGAAACAGACTTCCAGGAAGTCTGTGAAGCTCAGAGTCCCAAAGAAGTTGGACCCAAGGAAACACACACCAAGGCACATCATAATTACATTGCCCAAGATTAAAGATAAGGAAAAAAATCTTAAAAGCAGCAAGAAAAGAGGAGAGAGTTACCTACAAAGGAGTTCTCATAAGACTATGAGCTGATTTCTCCAAAGAAACCTTGCAGGCAAGAAGGGGCTGGAAAGAAGTATTCAAAGTCATGAAAGACAAGGACCTATATCCAAGATTACTCTATCCAGCAAAGCTATCATTTAGAATGGAAGGGCAGATAAAGTACTTCCCAGATAAGGTAAAATTAAAGGAGTTCATCATCACCAAACCCCTATTATATGAAATGTTAAAGCAACTTATCTAAGAAAAAGAAGATGATCAAAACTATGAACAGTAAAATGACAACAAACTCACAACTATCAACAATTGAACCTAAACAAAAACAAAAACAAAAACAAAAACAAACTAAGCAAACAACTAGGATAGGAACAGAATCACAGGAATGCAAATCACACTGAGGGTTATCAGTGGGGAGGGGGAGTGGGGAAAATGGGGGAAAAGGTACAGGGAATAAGAAGCATAAATGGAAGGCACAAAATAGACACGGGGAGGTTAAGAATTATAGGAAATGGAGAAGCCAAAGAACTTATATGTACAACCCATGGTCATGAACTAAGTTGGGTGGGGAATGCTGGTGGGAGGGGAATGTAGGGAGGAGGGGAATAGAGGGGAGAAAAAAATGGAACAAGTGTAATAGCATAATCAATAAAATATACTTAAAAAAAGAGGAAAAGCTAAAATGAAAGAAACTTTTATCAACCATTGGAGAAGATATGTAGCTAGTGAAACTCTTAATACATTGCTGTTGAAATGCAAATTAATATAACCTCTTTGAAAAATAATCTGGCAATTTTTTAAAATATTATCCATACATCTACCCTATGTTTCAGCAATATCATTCCTAGGATGCTATTTTATACAAGAGAAATGAAAACACCTGACTACAAAAAGCCTTTTACAAAAATGTTCAAAGCAGGTTTATTCATAATAGCCCTAAACTAGAAACAGCTCCGATGTCAATAAATAGGAGATTAGATAACTTTTGGTATACTCATATATTACAAGGCAATAAAAACGAGTGAACAAGTGATACACAAAACATCATGAGTGACTCTCAAAAACATTATGCTGAATGAAAAAAACCCTATGCACAAAAATGTATGTACTTTCCCCTCCATTCATATGAAATTGAGAAAAGACAAAGATAATCTGATAATAAAAATCAGATTATTAGTTCCTTTGACAGGGGTGGGAGGTTTTGAATGGAGACGGCCTTGGGAGAACTTTTGAGATAATGCAGTGTTCTGTTTCTTGAGAGGGAGTGTAGTTACATGAGTGTATGCATTTGTCAAAATTACTGAACTACAGCTTAAGTCTGAGCATTTCACTATGTACAACTTATACTTCAATTTTAAAAAGAAACTTCATATATTCTTCAGCCACGCACCAGTACATAAAGCTATATAGACAAAGCTTCACTTGAAAAAACCAAGGTCCCATTACATTTGAAGCAAATTTTGTAGGAATGATTTTATTTTATTGATCAAACATAACAATGTTTTTGAGGAGAGTGGAAAGAGTAATGCAAAGGGAATACACAATTAAAAAAGCATTTTTTATCCCAACAGATAAAAGCACATATAAAGTAAGGCTGGAAAATTATCCACCCAAAATATTTGAATAAGCTTGAGGTTATCTGATAAAAATACTAAAGATATTGTGATTAAACCACAAAAATTGTTAGAAAGCCCTGTACTACTTCTGTTTCATTTCTACACAAATCCATACTTCTTTTAAACCATCATGCTCTTCTGAAAGTTCTAGCACAAAGACTACCTAAAATCTTTTTTCAGTCATGTGTAAAGGCAGAAATGCAGCATTCCACAATACATACTGGAACACTGTTTGCAGTATGGGGAAAAAAACACTATCCATCGATAGGTAAATAAAAGATATGCAATCTGACTTAAAAGAATTTCCATCATGTAGTATTATTTGAGAATAGCAAGATGCAGAACTGGCAGTGCTCACAGACCCACACCTATATAGAGCAGGGCAAAAGTAGGTTTACAGTTGTTCATATGGAAAATAATGCAATAATTAATAATAATATATAAGAATAAACTCTGTGTTTTGCATACTCACTACTGTAAATCTGCTCTGCCTCACCCTGTATATACTTTTGGTGCCTGTGTGTGTGTATAATATAGAGAGTAGTTGTAGATATAGATATGGCGTATATAAAGGTATGAAAAAAATACCAAATTGTTACTACTGGTATCTTGAAAAAATGTTAAGAGTGTTCCCACAATAAATAGGCAAGAAATGCTGTGATTACATATACATACATACATAAACACATGAAAAGATGGTAATCAAAATCATTTTAATGAGTGTTGAAGTATATGGATTTTTACTTTCTTCCTTATTTTTGTTTCTATCTGCATGTTTTGCTATTAACACATATTATTTATGTAATCAGAAAAAAAGGGCATTTTTATATTGGGAGAAATACACATCATAGACCTGAAAAATACTGCAAAAAAATCTTTGTAATTTAAAAAAATATATGGTCCTTTAGGTAAGAATATTATGAGTTATGCATAATGGTTTAAAATTTTAAATAAGAGGTAATTGTATAGTGCAAGCACTACTTTTTGCCAACACCAAAGAACAAAACATTCTATGTTAACAGACCTCAAAGCCCAGGTATCATAGACTGACACACACACACACATACCTGGATGATTCAGAAGAATATCAAGTTCTTCTTTGGCCACAACCATTCTTAATCTATCACTACTATCAATGACAAAAATAATGGCCTGTCCATCTCTGTATAATATAAAGAATGACAAAAATTAAAAATAAATTTACACATTTTCCCATGTTTACTATCCACTTGTATGTCCTAACCTGTGCATTATCTCTTCATATCCTATGTCTATTTATCATTATAGGCTTTGGTGCTGTTTCTTATTAGTTCACATGAGTGACTAATGTATAACCATTAGTGATATTTCATGTAAAATAATTCTATTTCACTCAGCTGATAATATGATGAAATTTAATGACTTGTTATTTAATAATTTTTAAGAATTACAAGTAAAATCATATCCTATTTCAAACATAATAATCACTATTTTTTGTGTAAATCAATGTTGATGTTATGTGTATTCACATGTGAATATCTACATCTATACAAATGGAATGCTCCTGTTGTACATATACACTGCTTTTCTGGCATGCACATACATTTCATTGATCTTATTTGCAGTATAGTTTGAACAACTTCTAGTCCTTCTCAAATAATTTTTACCATAATCATAGTGAGACATATATTTTACATTAATATTCAACAGACACATACGTACATCAATACTTACAAATAGCTTTTATTTTATTCTATTTTTTTTTTAAGCTGACATCTAACCACTGAACTAGTTTAAGGATTCACTTACAGATCATAGTGGCACTTCAGAAATCACTGATTCCCTCTGCATGCTTTCTTGTACTAGTTATAAAGTATTTCACTGCATGAGTGTGTCATCAAATAGTGTGTCAAATTTTTATTATTGGACTTATTGGTTATTTCCAATTTTCATTATTATGAAAAACTTTTAAGATAAAAATCCTCCTAAATACATTTTTAAAATTTCTTGAAACTTTAAAGATCCATCCTTAGGAATAAAATTTCTAGGAATATATATATACATATAAAATTTAAAGTTTTAGATAAACAGTGATAAGTTGTCCTGTAGAAATGCTGTGTCCATTTATACCACTACCAGTATTTTTCCTACCAACTTGTGGCATGGCTCTTATCTTTTTTTTCAATCTTTGTCATTGTAACAGTTTTATTATTTTACTTTATATTTCATTAATTGCTAGTGAAGTTCAAAATCTTTTCATATATTTATTGGACATTTATACTTTTTCTGTGAATTACTTATTCCAATCATAAATTAAGATTTTAAAGTTCAATGTCATCAGTAACAACATAAATATTAAAAAACCCAACTTTTTAATATCACTTTCTACTATCACTTAAAAAAGTAAATGCAGATTATCACAGTCATAGACTACTAATGGATACAGAAACTGGTGCAACTGGAAATATCTATCAAGAGCTTTAAAAATGTTCGATCACATAAACTGTGACAAAGATTTATGCAGCAAGATGTTAAGTGAAGAATTGTTGATAATCTTCAAAAACTGAGAATAGCCTTCATATACAAATAGAGAAATAATTGAACAAATTTTGGCATAGGCATATGAAAAAAATATTAGGCAGACATTAGAGTTATAATCTTTATATATTTTTTCCTGATTTTCCCTTATCATAGAGTGTTAACTGAAAGAGCAGGATAAAAACACTATGTATGTCATATAATTTAGAAGGCTCCTTTCTCAATTATGTAGAGTGTACATTACATATTCCGAAAAACAATTTTTTTAATCTTCAGTCTAATAGATTAAAATGCACTTCTTTAATAATCAGACAAGTAGAGATACAAGAAATAAATTTACAGTAGACTCCTCAATAGGAACCATATTACCATTCAACTTACAATTTATCTATAATATTCCTGAATCCAATAGCTTCTTCCAAAAATTTTTGGAAGAAAAATAAATTAAAATCAGAAAAAAAGCTTCCTTGTTTTCAAGTACTATTTTCTATGTATTTTTGCTCTCTGTAATTAAAGTAAGCTACTTTTAAAAAAGTAGCTAAAGTAAGTACAAATTTTTTTAAAAGAAATTTTACCACCAAATTTGAGAAGATATTTAAAAAATTCTATACTGAAAATGCTGGTTTTTCTAAAAAAAAAAAAAAGACAAAGAAAAATAAAGCAACTCACATTTCTCCAGGAAATTTAATGCATGATACCACAACATGCCACTTTTCCTTTTCCAAACTGACCCTCAGATCTGAAGCATTCTTTTCTCTCTACCTCAGAGGTCCTCTGGATCAATATACAACTTAAATAGATCTTCAATCTATTAAAGTACCCATTGGAAAGAATATCTGAAATTAATGTTCTTTGTTCCTATCTGAGAAACACAATGTTCATTCCCATATTAGCAGAAAAATATTACCCAAAATCAAAATTTGATCTGGCAGTAATCACATAGCATTTTAAGGCTAGAGTTCATAATGACAAAGAGGCATTTAGTCAAGGTGCATTGTTTGTAAGTTTCAGATTCTAAAAGTGAGTTACACTGCCTTTGAATGAAGGAGTATCCTAGTTATATTAAAAGTTAATGAATTCATTTTAACACCTAATGCAAACCTTGAGAGGTTATAACACATCTGGATCCTAGTAACTTGACAGCTGTTAATCTAATGTGATTAGTGAGTGCTTGACTCACCTAGCCTAAAAAATACCTTTAGAAAAGCTTATTGAATAAGAGGATGAACTGTTAGAGTACTGTTATTTTAACTCAATTTATTCAATAAATTGAATTTATTGTTACTAACCTATATGCCCAGCATCATACTTGGACTTGAAGAAATCATCTGAATGAAAAATAATCTCCGCTCTTGAGGAGGAGTTCACAATCCCATTAGGGAGGCAGCTATGGTACATGACTTTAAGATATAGTGAGTATGATTACAGAGATGTGAAAGTACTATGTGAACACTGCGACAGAATAACTGGGCAAAACAGTGAAATTTCACAGAGGAAGTGACTTTTCAGCTAGTCCTTAAAGAATGAATATATTAACCTTAAACAGCAAAGAGGGAGGGTAGAAGAGGGTGTTAAAAACAGAGAACAGCACATGCAGAGGTCCAAGGTTATGAAAGATTTCATGCATATGAGAAATAATGTGAAGTATGACTGTATTTTTAAAAAATTAGGGCATGTGCTTAAATTACATCAAAAATAAATATTGCAACCCAGCCCATGTGATCACTTGGATTTCCAATCATTGTTTGTTATTACGATATGCCCATCTAGTTAACCAACATTCATAAACAGACTTACTTATAATAGTGTTCCCAGAGATTTCTATATCTTCCTTGACCTGACATGTCAAACACTGTAAAAGACAAACTAAAAAAAAAATAAATAAAAAAAAACCCATGACTATATCATAAGCTACTAACTTTGAAGTATAACTTTCACTTAAACTTTTAAATTGTTTTCAATCAAACACACCACCCTGGAATATAGAATATTCAACTGAGGCCAACTTTCAAGTACAAATGCCATAAAATAAATTAAAATAAATTTGTGGACTAGAAGATTTTATAATGAATAACATTAAAAAAAAAAAGATGTTCTTTGCTAGTGAGATTTTCAGCATTTGTCTAAAGTCTAAATTATAAATTCTGAAAAATAAACCGGAGGTAGTGGTACAAATATTTTAACACCTATGGACTTCATAGGGGTTATGAAAAACAAAATGCTTTTTCTTATAGTAGGAGAAATACTAGGTAGATCTAATATTATCATTTTGTGCCCACAACTTCTTAGTCACCAGTATAATGAAGTGAAAATTACCTGGATGATTTGAATTTCTCTACGTTGAATCCTATTGTTGGAACTATATCTTGAGATTGAGCCTTTGAGAGAACAGACAAAATTTAAAAATTAGCAACTATCAGACTTCTGGTCAAGACAGTGTGCAGGTAAACACAGTTTGCCTCCTCGCCCAACCAACTCAAAATTACAACTAAACTACAGAATAACTATCACTCAGAACCATCAGAAATTGAGTTGAATGGAAGTCTGCCAACTACAGAACTAAAGAAACTGCATCCATCCAGATTGGCAGGAGGGACACAGACATGGAACAGGCTGGTCCCACATACATGTGTGGTGATAAAAATACAGGAAGGATATCTCTGGAGCGAGGAGTCCCAGCCCTATACCAGGGACCCCAACCCAAGATTCCAGGGCCCGAAGATAAGCCCCCATAGCTTCTGGCTGTAAAAAACAGCAGGGTTTGAGTTGGTGAAAGGAACTACTGGAGTCCCAAGTACTTCCTCTTAAAGGGCTTGCACATGGACTTACTCAGATTTACTCTCTCTGAGCTCAAGCATGGGAACGCCACTGTTTGAAAGGCACCAGTGGCATACAGGGAGGAACTGAAGTGCCTGACATCAGGGCAATGTGGGGGACAGCTTTCACCCAGACAGAAAGTTCAGCAGAGGCCATTTTTCCTTTTCTGAGGCCTCCCCTCACAGAGCCACATAGCTGGCAGGAGGGAGCCATATCTGAGACTCTATCAATAGAGCTCACACGGTTTGCTCCACCCCGGGGAATCCTGGAGGCTCTGATCCAACCTCTGACCCACCCATTTTATGGCCTACCCAAGCAGTTAACAGTGGTTTTTCCATGTCAATCACTGGTCTCAAATCAGGCTTTACATCTTCCTAAATCCTTTCAAACAAGCACAATAAGCCTCAGTGAGCCCCCAGCACCAGTACCTCTGGCTAAGTGGCTGCCAGACCTGGCACTAGCAGCAACCAGGTTTGGCTTCGCCTGGTAACCTCCAATCCCAGCACAAGTAGCAGCCATCTACAGATCGCTTTGTAGCTCATGCTGGGTGGCCTGGGGTAGAACACAGGTGCTTGGCATGCACCACCAGGAAACTCCTGAGCCTGTGCTCTCAGTGGACAGCTACAGACCATGTTGAAGCGCTACCACCCTGCCCCTGCACAGCTGATCCTCCACGGAGGGCAGAGGCTGATGGTCAGCAGTCACTAGCCAATACCTGCAGCTGACAAGCCTGGGTAAATACCTCCCATTGACCTGCCAACAGTAATCAAGGCTCAACTACAAGAGGAGGGTGTACTCAGCCAACACGAAGGGCGTACCTTGAATACCCAGGTTGGGTGATAGGGGAGGCTGTGCCACTGGTCCCTACAGGACACCTACTACATTAGGCCACACTACCAAGATATGGAGTCAAAGCAGCTCTAGCTAATACATAGAAACAAACACAGGAGACAAAGGAGACAAAGAAACATGGCTCAAATGAAAGAGCATATCAAAACTCCAGAAAAAGAGCTAAACAAAATGGAGATAAGCAATCTATCAGGTGCAGAGTCCACAACACTGGTTATAAGGGTGCTCAAGGAACTTAGTGAGGACCTCAAAAGCATAAAAAAGATCGAGTCAGAAACTGAGGATACACTAATTGAAATAAAGAACCGTTTTCAGGGAAACAACAGTAGAATGGATGAAATGGTTAATGAAAGCAGTAACATCGAACATAAGGAAGCAAAAAACAACCAATCAGAACAACAAGAAGAAAAAAAGAATTAAAAAAACAAGGATAGTATAAGGAGCCTCTGGGACAACTTCAAGCATTCCAACATTCACATCACGGGGATGCCAGAAGGAGAACAGAAAGAGCAGGAAATTGGAAATCAATTCAACAAAATAATGAAAGAAACCTTCCTTAATTTGGTGAAGGAAATAGACATGCAATTCCAGGAAGAACAGAGAGTCCCAAACAAGATGGATGCAAAGAGGCTTACTCCAAGACACATTATAATTAAAATGCCAAAGGTTGAAGATAAAGATAGAATCTTAAAAGCAGCAAGAGAAAAGAAGTTACCTACAGGGGAGTTTCCATAAGACTCTCAGCTGATTTCTCAAAGGGAACTTTGCAGGCTAGAAGGGATTGGCAAGAAATATTCAAAGTCAAGAAAAGCCTTTGCCTATAGCCAAGATTGCTCTACGCAGCAAAGCTATCATTTAAAATTGAAGGGCATATAAAGAGCTTCCCAGACAAGAATAACTAAAGGAGTTCATCCTCACCAAACCATTATTATATGAAATGTTACAGGGACTTATTTAAGGAAAAGATCAAAACTATGAACAATAACATGACAACAAACACATACCTATTGATAATTGAATCTAAAAAAACAAACTAAGCAAACAAGAACAGAGACAAAATCATGTATATGTAGAGCATTTTGATGGTTGCCAGATGGAGAGTGGGTAGGTGAATGGGTAAAGAGTTAGGGGGATTAAGAAGTATAAGTTGGTAGTTATAGAATAGCCCTGGGGATATAAAGCACAGTACAGGAAATGGAGTAGCCAAGAAATTATACACATGACCCATGGAAATGAACTAAGGGGTGGGGACTGCCTGAGGGAATGTGGGGGCTTGATGGGGGGAGTGAAGGGGGAAAAATTGGAACTGTAACAGCAAAATTAATAAAATATAACTTAAAAGAAAAATATGCAATTATCAAAGATGCCATTTTCCTCATGTTAAAAAAAAATCCAGATTTTCCAAGTCTAAAATCTGTTACTAAGGAGATGGCAGGACTAGACAAAATAATAATTTTTGCAACAGGATCACTGGGGGGGTAAATTTATGGAAGTTTAAGGTTTACTAATTATGAATTTGTATAACTTACATATTAATTCACATTTTGTGTGGCTTGCTGCAAGTTAACATGGACTCAAAGTAGTTTGATAAACCATCCTGAGTTCACATGTGGGACTTTTTAATCTTTCAACACATACTTATTGAGTTTATATGTGCTATGGGGACTGTCGTCATTCCTGGATGGTGAATCTATATAGTTCCTGTCCCATGGAGCTTACAATCTAGAGGACATAAACAGTAATAAACAACTAAGTTATATACAATAACACAATCTGAGGCAGTGACAAGTGCAATGAAAGGTGATTGGGGTTGGGGGGTAACAGGGCAGAGGGTTGTTACGGGCATGGAAAAAGGGTGCTCGGGCAAAGCTTCTCTGAGGAGGTGACATCTGAACAAGGAGTAAATATCAAGAAGAGGAAAAGCTATGACAAGGTCTTTGCAAAGAACTTTCCAGTGCAATAACCCTAGAGAGGAAGAAACTTACTACTTGGTAAAGTAGAAGGCCTGTATGTCCAAAGTGTATGTCCAAAGTGAGTGTAAAGGCAGAGAGCCATAGGCAACAAAGTAAGGGAGGAAGGGCCTTGAAGGCCACAGTCGGGAATTCCTTGTGAAGAAATTGCAAGTAAGCAAGAGTACAGGAGGAGACTTGTGGACAAGTCCCACAGGCTGGTAACATGCCTTATACTGACAACTTAGCAAGGGATCTCCTAACATTTCCACCATCAAAACTGTTTCTACTTTTTGAATAAAAATCAACCACTTTCTGATTAAGATGTCTGGGAGTTATAGATTCCTTTCCATTTTATGTTCTCTATATAATTCTCTAAGCTTTATTGGTTCCACCTTACTAACTTACGTCAGGTCCTTATCATTTCTTGCTTTGAGTTTCAACAGCCTCATAAATGACTCCTAATTGTTAATATGCTACCTTAAAGAAGTTACTTAATTTCTCTAAGACTTAGTTTTCTCTAATTTAATTTAAAATATATTATGATCCTTAACTCATAAAGTTATAAGCAAATTAAATGGGTTAATGGATGCAAAATACTCAGCACAGTGTTTGGCCCATAGTAAATACTCAATGAATGTTTGCTATTATTATAATTACTCTCACTGATTTTATTCTTGTCCCCAATTTTCTCCACATTCCCATGAATGTAACTTTAAAAAAATCCTCCTTCAGTTCATCTTGTTGTTTTTATGCCATAACAGGAGTAAAGGGAAGTTATTGCCTCACATCATTATGTTCACTTTACTAGTCTGTTTCTGGAAATTTAAAGTTAAAATGGAAAGACAGAAATTGAAAAGTCACTGGAGCTTGATCACTTTAATGTTAATGTGCTAGTGAAAAGGCATGCTCAGAGCTGCCTTGGTTTTGCCTTTCAGAAGTTTGTTTATTCAGCTTTTTCTTCAATCTTATGAAGTGCCCCATATTCTTCCAAAAATATCTTTCTTTTTGTTGATGTTAGAATTTATTTCCTGCTGCTCAGATTCCTGCTTTATACCTTAGGGTTCCTTCATTGCACAAGAAACTTTGGAATAAAGAGTCTCCTAATTTCCAAAATACCCCACTGTTTTGATTTTAAAGGTTTTCATGTGCCAATTTTATGATACAATGATCAGCTTTTATTAGGGAAAAAACATACCAATAGTAAAAAGGTAAGGAAGTTAAAGATTTAAGAAATCTCTGAGAGTATTAGCCTTGTCTTCACTGAATTGTAAAACATTCAAATAGCCTCTCTTAAACTGACCAGCTTCTTCACAAGCTCTTGTTGCCAGAGAAGCTCCCTTTAACTTGCTGTTTTACTTAATGGGATAAAATTAATGAATTTTCTTTTTTTCCTCTGACTGCTCAAGTTTTAATGGAAGATAATTAAACTACACATTAAGAAGGACAGAATAAGATATGTGAGCTGGTGCTTCCACATTCAACGGATATTACTCTTCTTCTGCTCTATCAAGGAACAAACGCATTTTGGTCATTCTCTAAATTGGAAAGGGAGCGGTACAAACTAAACAAAGAGTATAGGAATTATTATTACCTAAGTGGGATAGACCACTTAAGACTGAGACAGCCCAGGGATAGACCAACATCAAGAAGAAAACAAGATTTCTGAGAGAGACCCTGTTTGGTTAGTTTCATTAAGTCTAGTAAAAATGGTATCTTTGGTGCCATCAATCATTAGTGCCTGCCCAAAAACGAAAATAGAATAAAAAATCAGCTATCAGTCCATTTGTGCAAAAATATATTTTAAGTACCAAGCAATATTCTTGGTATTTGGGATTCAGTGTTGAACAACGTAAGATCCATGCTCTTACAAAATTTAAATTTAAATTTATGAAGGAAAATTGAATAAACAAGTTACCAACCAAATTATGCAAGATCATTTCAGATTATTTTAAATGCTAAGAATATAAAACTGTATGAAAGCATTTCTGTTGAGAAGTGGGAGAAAAAATGCGCATTTTAAAAGAAAGATATTTCAGCCCTGGCTGGCTTGGCTCAGTGGATTGAGTGCTGGTCTGCAAACCAAAGGGTCACTGGTTCCATTACCAGTCAGGCCACATGCCTGCGTTATGGGCCAGGTCCCCAGTTGGGGGTGTATGAGAGGCAACCACACATTGATGCTTCTCTCCCTCTCTTTCTCCTTTCCCCTCTCTCTAAAAATAAATAAATAAAAATCTTAAAAAATAAAAAGTGTTTATACAGTGCATCTCTAAGAAAAAGACAGCTGACACCAGATTCTTGAGAAGAGTAATCAGGCTAAAATGTGCCCCTTCTCTCCCTGTTCATCAGTTTAGAAAACATCAGCAACCTCAATATATAAACAATAAATAAACATTAGGTCAGCTTAATATTAAAAACGAGTATGGGTCCAGTAAGTATTATCTAGAAACTGATTTTATCTACAAAAAAAAAAAATGGGGCTACTTTACTATAAAATGAGATTTGCAGTACTTTTTTCCACAGCATTTCTGATATAGCATTGTCGATTTCTACAGTTCACTAAATTTATTAAAAATAATGTTTCTAATACTAAACTCACAAGAGGCTCTTTGGTTCAAAGGTAGGGAGGAAGCAAATGTTGTATCTATACCTGTGTGACAGAAGTTTTGGGGTCTTGGAGAAGTCCATTTCAAGTGGCCTATTGGTTATTGCCACCAAGTTTCTTTTGCGTTTTTTTTTTTTTAAGCAAAGCAATTTAGTCTGTTCTCAGGACTAGAGGTCAATTGCTGTGAGGGGAAAGACAGTTGCTACTTTCATAATTCACCAGCAATAACAGAAATGCAGAGATGTTGAAAAGCAATATAAGATTAATTAAAAAGCCTTAGTTTTTTGCTATGAACACAGATTTTCTTGAGGGCTCTCCCTAAATTGGTGTATGAGGCAGGGTCAATAGTTCTTCTGCAAGACCAGTCTGAAATGGGAATATCAGAATCTTTCAAGATGATGGACTGAACACATGCTGCTTCCTTCCTCTTTTGCCCCAAATCTCTAGACATGACAGAAGAAATTATGAAAAGAAAATCATAACTAAGTTAAAAAAGAGCAAGTGTCTTCAAAGGACCAAACACTGTTTAGGGAGAAAGCTGTTTCCATCCATATCAACGACTATTCCTATGGTAATATCATGTCTTGGGATAAAAATCACTATACTGTTGGGGAAGATAAAGGAAGAGACTATAATTTCTATTTTGTTCTTTGAAAGTTATTTCTCCCAATTTGAGTATAGTAGGCAGTGGGAGGGGGTGGTCCATTTGAGGGCTATAAACTGTGGCTCTGGTTTCAATTTTGTATTTATTTGTGACTATTTTTACCAAAAAAAAATTAATTACTTTTGAGGTCAGTTGAGTAGGGTTCTATGTTTTTTACCATACAATCATTGTTCTCTAAATTCAATTATGGACCCCATTCAATTAGATAGGATGCTGTATCTTTCACATAAGGACCAACAAAGAAATTTCTTGTAATCACCTAGGTCAGAAGACAGACTTCTATGTGTGCTGGCTTTTTAACCTGTTCTTTTCCTTATTGGGGAAGAATCTCTTTTTCCCTGTTTTCATACAGAGAAAGCTCCATTAGAATGATATTCCTAGTTTCTCTATTTCCCTTTTCTCTCTTCTCCCAATTTATTCCTTTCCCTGGGGGAAAAATAAATGACTTCTCTGCATAGTTTGTACAATGGAACTGAATATACTTGGTTATGCCTGTTTGTCTCTCTGTCTCTCTCTCATTTGAGAGCCACATGCCAATCATAAGCATGCATTCTCATAATTTCTTAGCTAAACAATAAACCTAGAATAGCTGGATCTTTCCAAGGAGGAAACCTTGAAATTTTGACTAAAGAGAGTTTTAGCAAGACAGACCTAAACTCTGCCCTCCAAAATCAACCTTTTCAATGAAGTTGGTATTTTTGATCTCTGCCTGACTTCAGCATATGTATCTCAACTGATTCCCAACTCAGCTAGGAGCCCTCTTAAAACACCTATATTACCCCCAAAATCCATTTTCAGCGTCTTATCCAGCTACTTCTAACTAATTCCCACCTGAAAACATACTGGTATTTAGTTGTTTTTAAATGGCAAACTTGTCTCTGTAGAAGAAGAGAAATAATGGTACTTTCTTAATTCAGAAGTAATTTCCAACTAAACAGAAGTAAAACTGAAGCTGTTGCAAAAGAAAATGGAACAGTGAATCATTCTGCCCAACCTGAAGCACTGTTTGGAGGTGACAAAGTCTACCTTTAATCACCATATTTAGGAGCAACATTTCCCACTCTCCACTCAGTCCTGGTGTATACCAGCTTCCTTATGTTTGCCCTATCTGTGCAGTCCATATTACCTTTTTACTCAATATTTTTCATTGATTAATGATTTTTACCTAAATAAATGTATTTATAACTGTAAATGGTAGCTGTATACCCAATATACATTTTCCCCTTCTTCCATACTTACAGGACCCCTATAATTTTTGAAAGGAGTAATATGTCCTGCTTCAAAGATCCAACCTTATTTACAGACGGGGTAGCCAGTGAGATGTAAGTAAGAGTCATTAGTTGGAGCTTCTGGTAAGCTCTTCAGCGAAGGCTTATTTAGGAAGAAGGCCTATTCTTTTGCCCAGTTCTTTCCTCCACCTTGTGACTTAGAATATAGATATGATAGTTAACCAAGGTGACCATGTGGAGATCTTGAGGATGGAAACAAGGCACTGAAAATAGCGCAGCAGAAAAAGATGGAAGATACCTGAATCTCTTGTGACCATGTAGCTACCTACCATACCTGCTCGGGAATACCTTCTCTACATTATTTAGGTGATAGAAAAAGAAGCTTCTGCTTTATTTAGTCCACTGTTATGTGGGTTTCCTTTATATGTAGCAGAACCTAGCTTTAACTTATGTGTCATGTGTTGAATGTGCTAGCTTTATATATTGTATTTCTTTAGTTATTAAAATAATATGCTTATATACTTATTACTAAATGACTTAAAGGTCATCTTGCTTACTACTACTGATATGCATACTACAGTCTTGGGAAACTGTCTAGTTACTCATGGGACCTATAAAAATGATTCACCTTTCCCTTTGTTTTGCTCTTCTTGTAAAGAGAGAGCCAAAAAGAAGGCAATGCTACCTGAAAGTAAACTTGGCAAATTTGTCAAGATCTTTTGAGAAAAAAAGACATTTGGAAAATATTCCAGTTTAAGTAATCAAGATTTACCTATATATCTGCAAAAAATATACTACAAGTTATGGCTGACTGATACTTATTACTTTAAGCTACTATAATGTTAATAGGATTTCATAACATGATTACACAAGTTATAATAGGAAACAAAATAAGTTTGCATATTAATTTTCTCTAGCAGAAAATACATAAAGCATTTAACAAAGATACTTACATTTGAGGGTTTAAGTTTGTTAATGATTGTTGTTTTGCCACTATTATCCAGTCCAAGGCACAAAACATGAACCTCCTTCTTCTTCAGGCCAAGCAACCCTGAAAGTCTGTCTAGCAATCCCATAATGTGATTCAAATATTTACAAACTAGCTGCAAGTCAGAAAAAAAAAAAAAGGTATATTACTCACAGGCACATTAAGTATGGAAAATATGAGCATGTATCTAAAAACATTCAATATTATAAAGACAAAATGATTTGAAAACCATGTCAAAGTAGCTTTGCATTTAGTAAACAGATTATAAACTGATTACCAGAAAGGAGCCTTAACTGAAATGCAGATTGGCAGCTTATAACCCCTGGCAACACAGAATAATGCCTTTGAAATAACTGTACATTTCTCATTGTAATTTTATAACATTTAAGAAGAAAATGCGGTATCTATCATTTTTGATACACGAAAATGTCTAGCCTTTTCTGGAAAGCTGGAACAACAGGCAATGGGGTTTCTGTGGAGCCTAAGGCCCAATCTTCCAAAGCAGAAGGCAGACCAGAAAAACAGATTCTGGCTAGATCTGGCTAGATCTAAGCCACAGGCTAAATCTTTTCCTGAAGTCAGCAAGAATATGAAGTAATAAATACTAAATTCACTGTTTTTGTTTGTTTGCTCGATTATGTACAATTTAGGCTGCATCAGGAGAAACAGAATTCTAATATATTTATCTTAATTTTCCCTTAGTCCTTACATATGTTTATATTAAGTCATTACAAATTCATTTAGAAAGAAGTTTATGTATAATATATACACACATGTGTACATACACGATTTTATCAAACCTTAATAAAAATGTTTTTTTAACTGTAATTTACCTGAATTACAGCCTGTTAAATATTACTTTAAGAGAACTTTAGTTAGTATACCAGTAAAGAATAAAAAAGTAAATACTGATCTTAGATTTTAACCTAGTTTTCTTAAATACTGTTAAAGTTTCTTTCTTTAACTCATCCCTGAAGTGCTCATTTGTTTATCAATTCTTCCTCTGGAAAAAAAAAAATCCTACCAATGCAAACTTAAAAAATTCCATTAGAAATTCAAACAGAAGTATTTTTAAGTCAAATAAAATGGGTGATGACATTCTGCTTACTACGTGATAACCTATTCATATCTTTCTATGGTACTGTCAAATTTAGATGTCAGATTTCCAAATGAAACTTCCCAAAGGTGTTCCCTTTGAGTCTGTCACTTACCAAAAAGATCATTATGTGGTGGGAGAAGAAAACTCTCACCTGTTGTAGGGACTTCTACAGCAGTAACTATAATATACCCATGTTCCAAATATCTCCTATTACTCTTGTCATTTACAATATTCTCTAAATATTAATCTCATTTATTTGTTTTATTCTCACCTCTGTCTAAGGTTCCAAAAGCCTGTCATCTTACAGCTCCTTCAGTATTTTTTAATCCCATACCATCTCAGACAAGGCCATACCTTGAAGGATGTGAGGCTGCAGCAACTTAAATGATAAAAGGCTTCCAAGACAGCTGCATTTGAAATGAGGCTGCATCATCAGCTTTGCTTAGGACCCTTGGGGGATCATTATAGGTAGAAGTTTCAAAACTGAATTCTAATAATGAGCAGGGCAATAAAGGTGCAGTGACCCATCCAAGCATGAGGCCCTAAGACAGAGCCACAGCTGTCTTACCCAAGGAATGGGGTTGATGTCAGGTACTCCATTTGCCCCACTTGAATCAATTTTTCTCCTTGTGTTGGAGGGTCAAATTTCATTCAGTTAATTCCTTTATATCTCAGTTTAAGGATAAGCATTTGTAGAATCTACTTTAAGCTAGCTTTCTGATATCATAAAACAGTTCAGAGACAATTTTAATTTAAAATAAATTTACTATAATTGTTGTTTATTGTACTAAACTCACTGATATAAAGACATATAGTTTTCCATTTTCCATACAATTTTGAATAGATTAAAAAAAATAACCATTCCTCACATCATTCCCCCATGGGCATGTACTATAAAGCATTGATTGTCAAAAGCTTGATATTCTGTGAATATTCATTTTTCACAGAAACTTGGATTGTGATTTTTCATCCCTTTTTCATGGATTATCAAATGCTCAGTGCTTGTGACATTCAATTTAACAGAACAGCCATTGTTCTAAAAGATGTAGTTGCATTTATTGAAGTTTCTTTATAAACTATCATATGCTTCTATTTCTTAGTAAATATACATTTCTATAAATTTATTTTTGCATGCATGAAAGAAGGTAAAAAAGATATTTCAAGCTATTCAACATTTATTTATCATGCCCTAACTGCACAGTGGAAACAAATTAAAGTTTCCTGCAGCTCCTTACTCCTTCAGTCATCATTCTCAACTCTGGCTGCACACTGGGATCAACTGCTGGATCAGTATTTCTGAAGATGGGATCAGGGCATCTGTACTTTAAAAAGCTACACAGTTTCCAATATATAGTGGCTATTGAGAACTAGTGGCTTTCAGAATAAATTCCAAGCTTTCATGCATAGCTTTTAAGGTTGTTCATAGTTTGGCTCCAATCTACCTTTCCAGTTCTGTATTTTATTGTTTTCCTCTTTCTGCACACCAGTTAATCAAATTCTCTTCACTATTGTCCAAGAAACTGCTTTCTAAAGAATTACTTGTTGCCAGAAAAGTCCTGAAGAATCAGGATTTTATCCATAGTTAAGAACGTGGAAAATAAGCTGCTGTGATAGTGGCTGGCAAAGAAAACACCAGGAGTTTACTCTGCAAACTTTAAAAATGTTGTGTAGAGTGAATTATAGCACACTGTAACTACGCCAAATAAACATTTTTGTTCGACTTTCAGTGTTTGATTACGAAGTTTCAATTACACTTCCCCCACACCAAATAAAAACGCCAAAATTGTGTAGTGTCAAAATCAAATAAAGATTTGCCCAAAACCAGTTCAATTAGTTTTCTGGGATCCCTAGTACTCACTGCATAAATTTACTCCTTTTCGACTTCTCACAAATTAAAATAATTACACATAGCTAAAAACATGGGAAAGAGCAACCCTGAAACTGACGGGGACAGGAGCGGGGGCGTGGGGGAAGGTAAGGGGGCCCCACACGCTACAAAAATTGTAGGTGGGGAACTACCTGGTCTTTGAGGTTAGTCCGGCAGGCCCAGGAGCTGGTGAGGGGCAGGAACGGACACACTCGCTTCCAACCGCTTCTGGATGGGAATCTGCCGTGGGCGTCTCTCAGCTTTTTCCTCTCTACCCCTCCATAAGAAGGATGCCTAGTCCTGACCAAAGCCACCACCTCCACAAGTTGGGTGAACTGTAGCCTGTGTGTAGCGGAGCGTCAGTCAAAGGGCAGGCAACTAGGCGCTTGGCGTTCCCCTGGCAACCAAAGGTTCTTCCGGTCCCGAAGCCACCCTTCCCCCGAGGCCATAGCGCCTCAGCCGCACTCCTATTGCTTGTCGGAATGTAGAGCTCCTGAAAATGTCACACAAAGGAGTAGGAACGAAGGTGGCACGTTGGCTGGGTGGGCGCACCCTTCCTGCACGGAGTTGTTCGGTCCCGGTGCAGCGTGATGGGAGTTGTAGGCGCGCGCACAGGCTGCTGGGAGGCGTTTGGCTTAACACGCTTGCCTAGGGCGTTTCTCTCCTTCCTGGTCTCTGCCAGCCTCTTCGGCATATTGGCCTCCAGGGGCGGTTTCTCAGGGTGGCACCCGGAACACGGAGGAATCTCTGCGGTTTTGCCTGATACTGGGACGGCGTGGTGGCGACAACGGCAGTACACGATGGTACAGACTGGGACAAGATGTATGCCGGAGTAGCCCCGGTGGCCGTCATACCGACCCTTTTTCTGGGGCCCTGAAGGCCTCAAACCCTGGAGTCCGGGCGAAGTAATGCTTGAGGGAGAGGAGATCAACTCAAAGGCGTTTTTGTTTTTGTTTTTGTTTTTGTTTTTCCCCCTTAGGAGTAGTACAGTATGCCTGTATTCTAGCTTCTCAGCCTTGTCACCCGCAGAGATTTCCACGAGTCAAAATCTGTGAGGGGATTACAGTCCCCAGAATCAACCCGGCTGGTGGTCAAAAAAAAATTAATAGCCTCTTGAAACATGGATTTTGTAGTAACACATGATCCTATAATTGAAAATATTTTGACATACGGTTTTACACATTTTTGTTACTGCGCTTTCCAATGTTGAGACTATAGATCCAATATTTTAAAGACCTACGATTTTTTTTTGATTAACCTTTCAATCTTCCTGTGTCCACCAACGCTGGCCCCCCCTTCCCGCGCCATGAATGGTGTTCCTCAAAGAATTTTCATTTCTTCTTTTCCTTGTTAACATAGGTATGGGATTTATCCCCTCTCCAACTACATAGTGTTGTTTACTACCCTACCTATTCTTTGACCTAGTAATTAATTTGGCCTATTAAATCGTGGGTGGAAAAAAAGACTAGAAGGAATTTTACACAAGTAATGATGTGTTTCTGGTTCTTGGTCTATCAGTAGAGGAGCAGATAAAAAAAAAAGCTGTGGTACATGTACACAATGAAATACTATCGTGGAATTGGGAGAAAATAAAAAGGAAATCTTACCTGTTGCCACAGGGTGGATGGAGTAGGGGATTATTGTGCTAAGTAAAATAAGCCAGTCAGAGGAAGACAAATACCATATGATGTCACTTAAATGAGGAATCTAATGAACAAAATAGAAACAGAGGCATGGTCACATGGAACAGACTGACAACTGTCAGAAGGGAATGGGGAGTGGGGCACTGGATGAAGGAAGGAGAAGGGATGAGCCAGGGAACACACATGCATATCCCAGAGACTCAGACAACAGCGTGGTGATGGCAGAGGGAAGGGGGAGGCGGGACCTGGGTGGAGGCTGGCAAATGGGGGGAAAAATGGGGACAGCTGTAATTGTAGAAACAATAAAAATTTAAAAAGTAATGATTAGGGAGGGGTAAATTGTATGTGTATGATTATAGGGTGTTTTTTCATCTGTTACTTTTCCAAAATTTCAAATGTGGTTATTTTTACAATTAAAAAAATGTGTTCTTTATTTCCACTTGCCTCTTATTGATAGTTTCTTTGTCCTTTTTCATGCTGATATAATTTGCAGTAAGTTCCTTGTAGTTTCCCTGTAGTTTTTGGTAATTCTCTGTGCTCACTGAACTCATTGAGCTTCCTTAGAACTGTTGGTTTGAACTCAGTATATGATAGTTTACTTCCCTCTATTTTATTTAATTCTCTTTTTGGGGATTCCTCCTTTCTCTTTGATTAGGGGGTGTTTCTTTGTCTTCCTATTATTTGTGAGACTCTTTTTTTAACTTCTGCTTCTTAAATTGATCTGGTTTGACTTGCTTACTTTGTGGTGTGAACCAAAACACCAATTCAAAAGAACCTATGCACCCAATGTTCATAGCAGCCCAATTTACAATAGCCAAGTGCTGGAAGCAACCTAAGTGCCCATCAGTCAATGAGTGGATGAAAAAACTATGGTACATTTATACAACAGAATTCTTTGTAGCAGAAAGAAAGAAAGCTACTACCCTTCAGCATGGATGGAACTGGAGAGCATTATGGTAAGTGAAATAAGCCAGGGGGTGAATGATAAATACACCTATAAATGGAACCTAATCAACAAAGCAGATGAGCAAGAAAAATATAACCACCAGCACTGAAAGAAAAAGCAAACTGACTGACAGTAATGAGAGGGATGGAGGGAGGGGGGTAACGGGGGAAAAGAAGGGGAAGGGTCAAGTCAAGGAACATGTATAAAGGACCCATGGCTGAAGCCAAAGTAGGGGTGGATTGAGGGTGGGAGGTGGGTGTGGGTTGGGCAGGAGAAAGTGGTGGTGGGATAATGGAAACAAATATATTTGAACAATAAAAAAAAAATTAAAAAATGAATGAAAACAAAAAATACATGGTTCTGGGCTGCTGACTTTGTTGACAAGGCATAAACTAATGAAAAACAAAACCTTTATATAGTTGCATATCCAAAAGAACTGAGTTATAACTGTCCTTGTAGTAATTGAGTATGCAAATACATGTTTTCTTTCTTACCCTGTGGCGTTAGGCCAATTAGCCCTCCATCATACTTGAGTTTCCTCGCTTTCAAAAGGACACTCTTTGCTGCACCTGGTGGTTTTGAGGAAAAAATGGATAGCAAAATATATGTTTTTGGCGCATAGATGTTCAACAAATAATTTCCTGTCTTCCTTTGTCCTGAAATTTTTACTGTATGGATAGGAGTTTTAAATGTGGTGGTTCTTAACTTCTTGCTCTGTGTGTCTGGGCATTATGACTCACTTGGATATGAGATAGAAGCTGATTTGTTTATAGTCATAATTTGACTTTTTTTTTTCTTAGAGATAGATAGGAATCTTATGTTTTAGAAAACTTTAGTGGACAGACCTAAGTTTTCCTGTTTGAGGTTGATTTATCATGCTCCTAGCTTAAGTTCTATTTTGGTTAGTACAAAACATTTGATGAAAACAATGGAAATGTAAGGGGGAGATTGGATATGTAACTTTGCAGTAAATTTAGGCAGATATATAACTTTTTGACCAAAGAAGTTAGCTAAGTAAATATTAATTATAGGTATGTGATGGCTTATAATTATTAGAGATAAAATAGCTACAATCTACTCAATAATCTAGAAAATGCCAGTTTTGAAAATATCAACCTTAAAAAAAGTAAATATTTCACATGTTGAATCTGTTGTTTTGGTGCTTTGCCAACCGAAACAGCTCTCAAAGAGTACACTCAATGCTCAGCATGAAAATTGTTCCAACTTGATTTAAGATGTTAGTTTGGCTCTCTTCATTTTATTCTGAGATTAAGCAGTTTTGAAAATGGTATACGATTTTCTAAAGGGTACTTAAGATAAGGCTAACCTGTACAAAAGAAGAAAGTTTCAGGTACTTAATTACCAGTTTAAATTTCATACTGGCTTCTGGAACTGTAGTAGAATTATAAAAGAGGTAAGAGTTAGAAATGATGAATACAGCACTATTCTGATTATTTCATGATAATTTTAATGTATTGCCTTATCAGAAACTTTCAAAATAATACATAAAATCCTTAATTTGTAATGTAGTGGAAGTTTTTGGGATGAATGTTGATGGTGTAAAGCTGTCTGAGCAGTTAGACATTATATTTATGTTTTGGTCATCTGCAGTTTGTATACAGTGGTACCTCTGCACTTAACAATTTACTTGAATCTCACAAAACATTTTGCTCATATAATCAGTAGAAAAATATGTACCAATTATTTACATGGATTTATGTGAGTTTGTCTTGACCTTAATGATATTATGAAAAATTATACCTATGATTTTATATCCAGAATTATTAATGTATCTAAAGAGCATCTAGATTTAATAGACATTTAAAAAATAAATTATATTGAGTATGCATTAATATAATACAAAAAAGTCACAAATTCAACCACCAGAACAGTAACTTTTATTTGCTAATAGATATTTTAATAAACAGGCTTACTCCATCTGTAAGACCCTGATAATGCCTCTTAGGAAATCATAGAAAAATAAAATACAATAATTAGTAATTTGTACGTTGTACAAAAATCTTATTATGTTGCTCAGCAGGTAATTTTGCTAAACACCATATTCTTTCAGCAAATAGGTGACATATGTAATGCAATACACCACAATCCCTCATTGAGAGCTGAGCATTCTATAACACTATTAACTTGTAGGCATGCCAGCACATGAACATTTACATGGAACATCAGAATATTACAGTAAATTTTTATAAGATGAAAACAATACCACCTTCAAGTAAGTATGGACTACTTTACTGTTATAGTAAAGTAAATAATAGGTAGGATTGCAGTTTTATTGTTAACACCCCTATACTGTGTTTATCTCTCTACCATATTGTGATAGAACAGAAAAGAGAAAATAGACTGTATAAAGAACCTTAATGGAAGGCATAAATAGAAGCTCTAAATAGTGATGTAATACCAAAGAGGAAAAAAAAACAACAGTGCTGCACTTCTTTATTCTCACACAGATCTTTCACCCCCTTTTGCAAGAGTAAATGGGTAAAATGCTAAGTCCATAATTAGTGATAAATAACTTTGACAGGTTACAAAGAGATTTCAAAAATCATTCATATTTATAGGAAGGAAAAAATGTTTTCAGCTGCAGTTTTTATTTGTCAAATATTGCTCTATAAGGGATTAAATGTCTTAACTTAGATGTTATCTAGGTATTTTGTAGAAAGGTACTCTTTAGTATTAATAAACTTTTTAGGATTTGTACTGTAATGATTGTTTATAACTATTTTGAATACACTGCAGCTGTTGACATTATACCATTTAATATTTGAAATAGCCATTTAAGTATTAAATGTTTAATCAAACATATTTATATGTACATGTATATCATTACATTTTTGGCTATGCTAAATTAGCAAAAAAAATGGAGAGCAATCTTATTCCATTGTTCACAATCTAATTTTACAATAAATCCAAAGAATAAATATGCACCTATAAATTCCAACACATTGAATTACATATAGCCTATCCAAAA